GACGAGGGACAGAGGGAGGAATGGGCTTCCCCCCTACCCCAGCCAGCTGCTCCTTCCCTCACCCAAATGCACACAGAAATCCCCCCACCTGCACACACCCCGCTCTCACCAGGTCCTGCTCTGTGCTGATGGACACTTGTACAGGGAGGTCCTGGGGTCTGGTCGCAGAGGTGGAGTGTCCTCTGAACCTGGGCCCCACTTCTGGAAGCCTGGAGTGGGGGCTGGAGTGGAGGTGGACAGTCCAAGCGAGGCTGGGCAGGGGAGAAACAGGATGTTGGAGAGCCCCAGGGCTTCCCCTCTCTTCCTGGAAAGGCTCCAGCTGTCCCAGGAAGGCCATCCACCCCCACCTACCTCCCCTCTGGCTCCCACAACAGGAACTCTCCTTGAAGAAGAGACTTGGAGGGAGGAAACAAAGGCACCCCTGTGCCACCAGCCTCTGCCCCCGGGGAAGGTCAGATCAAGGTGACCTCCATCTGTCTCCCTGTGGTCGGGTCCCCAAGGGCAGGGCAGAAAGGGGCCTAGGATCATTCTTCTCTTTTTTTTTTTTTTGAGTTGGAGTCCTACTCCATCGCCCTGACTGGAGTGCAGTGGCACGCTCCCAGGCACCGCAGCACCTCAGCCTGCTGGGCTCCAGCGATCCTTCTGCCTCAGTCTTCCAAGTAGCTGGAACTACAGGCGCGCGCTACCACACCTGGCTAATTTTTTTGTTTTATTGTAGAGATGAGGTCTCGCCAAGTTGCCTGCGTGGGTCTCGAACCCACAGGCTCAGGCAATCCACTCGCCTCAGCCTCCCAAGTGCTGGGATTACAGGCTGAGCCACCGAACCCGGCGGGATCATTCTTCTCTTAATCCACACACTCGAGCACATCTTCACATAATGCACGGGGCATGTGGCCTCATTCCACCGGGCAGGGTGTGGGCTGGGTGGGAACGGGAGCACACTCCATACCAGGGCCATCGTGGGCCCACCAGTCCCTCTGCGGTGTGTGCTGGGGTGGGAGAGTCTAAGGGGGGTTATACGGAGACCCTGCCCCCAGGGCCTGGCAACTTGGATCCTGGTGCCAGCTGTGCACTGGCCAGACAGGTCTCTTTCCTGGATTAATCAAAGGGGTTGGCTCTGACACCCTTCAAGGTTGTCACAATGATCCTTTGAGTTGAAGAGTACAACCATGTTTGTACACAAATGTACTACAATTCAGTTCAGGGTATGTAGACTGCACTAATGGCCAGGCTATAGATTATCATTGTCCCCCACCTTTTTTTGAGACAGGGTCTCACTCTGTCACCCAGGCTGGGGAGCAGTGACACAATCATGGCTCACTGCACCTCTATCTCCTGGGCTCAAGTGATCCCCTTGCCTCAGTCTCTCATGCGCCACCATGCCCTGTTAATTTTTTTTTTATAGAGACAAGGTCTTGCTATGTTGTCCAGGCTGATTATTACTATTCCTAATAAAATATAATCAATCTTGTTTTGAGGAATGTATTCCTATAAGATATTTTTGAGTCTAAGTCTCACTCTGTCACCCAGGCTGGAGTGCAGTGGCACACTCACGGTCACCGCAGCCTCAACCTGCTGGGCTCAGGTGATCCTCCTGCCTTAGCCTTCCAAGTAGGTGGAACTACAGGCATGCGCCACCATGCCTGGCTAATTTTTTCTTGATTTATTGTAGAGACGTGGTCTCACCAAGTTGTCCAGGCTGGTCTCGAACCCCTGGGCTCGGGCAATCCTCTCACCTTGGCCTCCCAAAGTGCTGGGATTACAGGCGTGAGCCACCATGCCTAGCCCCTGTAAGATTTTTTAAACCCTTCCTCATCCCCCATCTAACACCACGACTTGGAGTTGGAAGAGAAGGGCAGCTACGAGGACGGCCTCAGACCCCAGCTCAGTCAGCCCCCTTGCAGTCTCTGATCTTTCTGAACCCATCCCCCAAGCCTCAGTTTTCTCCTCTGGAGCCCGGTCCCTTAGAGCCACCAGGGTGCTTTGTGGTGGGAGATAGCAAAGATCAAACCCGGGGACTGACAGCAAAAAGAAACCCCAAATTTGACATTTTCAGGTAGTTGTGTTATCCAAATCCACAACCACTGTCACCTCTGCCCCCAACCCAGCTCTGACACCCTTCCCTCCTCCACTCCTTTGGGTGCCCTTTGTCCATCCTGGAACGCTCCCTCTACCCTCCCCTTTCCCCTATCTCAATGGGCGATCAGGCCCAAAGAATTGGAGAGAAACTCAGAATCAGAGAGAGAACCAGAGGAGGACCGGCACCAAGACATAGGTATTCAGGGCCTTACAGACAGAGACCAAATGGGGAGAGAGCCGGTGGCAGGCCAGGGACAGTACTGGACACAGGGTGGCGCGGGAGGCACCAGAAGGCTCTGAAGACACTGACCCTCCCAGTTCTGTTTGCTGCAACTTAGTGCTAGCTTCTTAAGACCCAAGACCACCAGTGCCCTAACCAAGCCAAGCCCAACCCAAGCACAACCCAGATGTGTGGTGGGTGGGGCTGTCCCCTAGAGTGGCTGGCCCCTGCAAGCCCCAGGGGAGGAACCTGGAGACACAGCTGCCTGGAAGGGGGCAGGCAGGGCCTCCACTCCTAAGTGGGCACCCCAAGCCTCCCTCCCCCTGGTGCCCGGATGTGAGGCTGGTCCTCTGCCCTCCGGACCTGGCCAACAGGACTTGGAAGCCCAAGGGATCTGTCCATCCACCGACTTCCACATCTGCCTGAAAGGGAAAGGCGGATGGCACAGGGGCCAAGTGTGGCCCACCCACATGTGGTAGCGGGCTTAGCTGTGCCAATGCCATGTGCCAAGTTGCACCCTCCCCCCCCCGCCCCGTACCTTTACTTTCTCCCTTTGTACAATCATCTCAAGCTCTGGCACTCCTCTCATTCCAGATGACACCTGGCTCTGTCTGACCCTCCCCTGCCAAATCCTAGCTCAGAGTTGGGGGAGGGAGAGGATGGGGATTTGCTTTCTAATCCTAGGGCCCCTGAGGAGCATCTGGGAGGCAGGGCCTCCCTAAATCCTCCTGGCACCCCCTTCTGGGTCTCAATTCCTTTCTTCGAGATCCCACCGGCCAAGGCCTTGTGACCACACATGGAAGGCAGAAGAATCCACACATTCCAGCTTCTGAAGCTTTGATATTCTTTTCTTTTTTTCCTCTGAAGTAAAAAGATTGAACCCGGGAGAGCTAGTGAGGGGCAAGAAGGGGAGCAGGGGTGGAAATGGAGAGAAAAGGGCAGCTCCAAGAAGGAACGGGGAGGGAGGGGGCAGAGGACAAGTGGTCTTGGCCAGGCTGGGCCATGAGTGGGCAGTGGGCGGTCCCTCCTCTGGTGCTGCCAACCAGCTGCTAGGCAGAGGGGAGGCGCAGAGGAGAGGGAATCTGGGCAAAGGGGAGGGAAGGTTTCCAGCCTGACCTTACCCAACCCCCTGGGCCTCCTGGGAGGGGGGAGCAGGGGGAAGGGGGCTGTGACCCCCAGGGGCCTCTGAGGAGGATGTCCGCGCTGAAGCAAGGCCCACAGGGAGTTGTGAGGTTGGGAGGCTTCAAGACAGCCCCTCCCGGGCCTTTTCTGAAGGTGGGGCTAGCCTCAGACGGGGCTGGGGTGCAGGGAGGGGCAGAGTATTTACATATTGCGAAGCCACATGTCCACCGTGTGACCCCGGGCAAACCCCTTCCCCTCTCTGGACGCCCGTTTCTTACCTGCGAAGTTGTGGAGGCGAGGAGGCTGAAACATATGACTGCCAAGGTTCTTTCCTGTTCCTCCTTCACGGGTGAGTTTAGAGGGTGGGAGTAATGGAAGGGGGAGAGTGGCGGGGAGCGAGCTTGGCTTCTCTGGAATCCCCAGGCCTTCCCCTCCCTGCAGGCTTGCCTCTGAGATCGCAAAAGCTGTGGCCCCACCAACCCACATAAACACACACACATATGCGCGCGCACACACGCGCGCACACACGCACATTTACTTGGTCAGTCTAGAGGCTCAGAAGATGACGCGCCAGGGCTGGCAGGCGTCCCCAGCGAGTCCCCCCCCTTCACAGACGAGAACACGGAGGCCCGGCCTTGGGAGTCCCAGAGCCGGACTTCCCGGCCCTTCCAGCCCGTCCCACGGCGACTCCCTCGCCCCGGCCGGCCACGGTCCCGGGACGCTCCCGCGGAGCCGCGGCGAGG